AAATCACCACAGTGAAGTTAGATGGTTCCAACTATTTGATATGGGCACAGTCTGCCAAGATGTTCATTGGTGGCAAAGGCAAGATTGGCTATATTACTGGTTCTAAGAAAGAGCCAACTAAGCCAGAGAAGGCATATCCACAGTGGTTTGCAGATAACGCTATGGTTATGTCTTGGCTAGTCAATTCGATGCAACCAAACATAGTTGTTGGCTATATGTTTATGAAGACTACTAAACAGATTTGGGATTCAGTTCAACGCACTTATTCTCAGAGGTAGAATAATGCACAAATTTTCCAGCTGGGGCGAGATATCACCAGGATTTCTCAGGGTGACTTGACAGTTTCAGGTTACATCGCCAAGCTTTGTGCTATTTGGGAGGAGATGTCATATTATGATTCCTTCCACTCCTGGAAGGATCCAGATGATGCAATTTTATATGTAGGAATTGTGGAGAAGAATCGAGTGTTTTAGTTTCTTGCCGGGTTGAACAACGAGTTTGAGTATGCTCGTGTTCATTTATCGGGCTTATCTTCATTCCATACTCTTGAGGATGCATACTCCTATGTGTTGTCAGATGAGAGCCGCCAGACTCATCCATTAGGTGTTGCTTCTGTTGATCGTTCTGCTATGGCAGTTCGGGTTCCCAACCTTCAGGAACTTCACCATCCCAATCAGTTCAGGGCACTACCACCGGTCCTCCTCTGGGATGACGTGGACGGTGCGACCATTGCGGAAAAATTGGTCACATCAAATCTCGTTGTTATGCTCTACATGGACGCCCACCGCAACAAAAACAACAGCCTCGATCCTCTGCACATTCTGTTACACAACCAGTCTCGTTGTCAACTCCTGACAACCCTGCCTCTACATCTTCTGCCACAGTTACCTTGACTCAAGCTGATTTGAACAAGTTCAAGCAATTCTTCAACCAAATGGAGGCATCATCTCAGCCAACCTCCACTCATGCCCACTCAGGTACTATTGCATCTGCACATAGCTTATCTACATCTTCGACACCATAGATCATTGATTCTGGTGTCCTCACTCTTCCAATCTTATAGTATCTGCTCTAGCCAACGCAAGGTCCGCCTTACAGATGGCTCTCCATCTTCCATTGCTGGGAAGGGTCACATATCAGTTACTCCTTCATTAACTTTGTCAGATACACTTCATGTTCCAAAGTTGACTACAAATCTTATTTCTGTTAGTAACGTTACCAAACAATTAAATTGTAGTCTAACGTTCTTTCCCTCTCATTGTATTTTTCAGGATCTGGTGTCGAAACGGACGATGGGTGTGAAGTGAATGGTTTATACTTGTTAAATGCTCCTTTGTCACCTTAAGCACATTCAGCTTCATTTTGTAATATTGTTTCATCTAATAAAGCCCAGCTTATGCGTTGGCACATGCGTTTAGGACATATTTCTTTTAGTTATTTGAAACATTTATTTCTTTCGTTATTTTGTAACGTGGCTAGGTCAGATTTATCCTGTGAGACATGTCATATGGCAAAACATGTTCGTTCCAATTATCCTGCTAGTAGTAATAAATCTGCTTTAACACCTTTTGATCTTCTTCATTCAGATGTGTGGGGTCCTTGCCCAGTTACTTCTAGTCTTGGATTTCAATATTTCTTGTTGTTCATTGATGATCATAGTCGTGCTATTTGGGTTTATCTTATAAAACCAAAAATGAGGTATACACTATTTTTAAAAAATTTATGACAATGGTTCAAACTCAATATGGTCGTACATTAAAAAATTCAAATCTGACCAGGGTACAGAGTACACTTATGGGGAGGTCCAACGGTTATGTACAGAATTTGGAATTGAGCATTAGATGGCAAATGTTAAAACTCCTCAACAGAATGGTCGTTCTGAGAGAAAGAATCGCCACATCCTTGGCTTAGCCAGAGCAATCTGCATTGGCATGAATGTTCCCCAGTCATTTTGGGGAGATGCAGTTCTTACCGCAATTTACATCATCAATCGGACTCCTTCTAGGATTCTTAACTTTGAAGCCCCACTCTCAATCTTACATCCCAATTCATCTTTTTTTTTTATTCCTCTGCGAGTCTTCGGGTGTGTGTGCTTTGTTTAGCAGTTAGGGCAGACTCGTACAAAGCTTGACCCCAAGGCTTTGAAGTGTGTGTTTTTGGGCTATTCTCACTCTCAAAAAGGTTATAGGTGTTGCCATCCTCCTAGTCGTCGACTATTTATATACATGGATGTTTCTTTCTTTGAGCATACATCATATTATAGTGGTTCAGTTGGTTCTCAAAGTGAATGGTTCCCATTGAATATAATGGATGATCACCTTCTTCCGTCTTCAACTCCTCTACCATTACCTGTTTTGTCTTATATGATTCCTCATGATACCCCTCGGGCAGGGGGAATTGTTCCTTTTTCACAGGTTTACAGTCGAAGACAATAAGTGCAAGCTTCTACTCCCACGATCGACTGCCCTGTTCCTTCGGCACCAGCTCCGCCTTCTCAAGCTATTGTTCCGCTTGATGATCGTCCCATTGCTCTTCGAAAGGGTAAACATTCTTGTACATACCCTATTTCTAATTTTGTTTCTGATTATGCTCTCTCACCCTCCTATCGGAGTTTTCTTGTTTTTGTTGCCTCGGTTCCTGTTCCTTCTAATGTTGCAGATGCACTAGCACAACCTCAATGGCGTGATGCTATGACAGAAGAACTACAAGCACTTGAGAAAAATCAGACTTGGGACATGATTCCACTTCCTATTGGACGAAAAGCTGTGGGTTGTCGTTGGGTGTTTACAGTTAAGCATAATTCAAATGGGTCAGTTGCTCGTTACAAGGCCCAATTGGTTGCCAAGGGTAATGCTCAAACTTATGGCATAGATTATCAGGAGACTTTTGCCCCTGTTGCCAAGATGAATACCATCTGTATATTATTTTCCGTTGCTGCAATTCGATCTTGGCCTCTATTTCAGTTAGATGTCAAGAATGCCTTTCTCAATGGTGATTTGCAGGAGGAGGTGTACATGGTCCTGGTACATGGTTCCTCCTCCTGGCTTTCGTTCTCCTGCTCATTCTGGTATGGTTTGTCGTCTTCGTCGTTCTCTGTATGGCCTCGAGCAGTCTCCTCGAGCTTGGTCTGATCGCTTTGGCACTGCTATGCTCAAGTTTGGTTTCCATCAAAGTGCAACTGATAATACCTTGTGTTTACGTCATTCAAGCGGTAAGACAATTGCTCTCATTGTGTATGTCGATGATATTATTCTTCCCGGCGATGATACTACCGGAATTGATGAGGTTAAGAGCTATCTTGGCCGTCAGTTTGAGATTAAGGATCTTGATCCCCTACGGTACTTCTTGGGCATTAAGGTGGCTCGCTTCAAGACTGGAATTTTCATCTCTCAACGCAAGTATGTTCTTGACTTGCTTTCTAATTCTGGTCAGCTTGGCGCTCGTCCTGCTGATACTCTGATTGAGCAAAATCATCGGTTGGCTGATTCTGAGGGGGAGTTGTTGTCAGATGTTGGTCAGTATCAATGACTTGTGGGGAAGCTCATCTATTTATCCATGACTCAACCTTACATTACTTATGTCATGAGTGTCGTGAGTCAATTCATCCAATCTCCTCGTGCCCCCACCTTGATGCAGCTATTCGGATCCTACGCTACTTAAAAGGGTGTCCAGGCCATGGTATTTTGTTTGCCAATCATGGTCACTTACGTGTTAAGGCTTGGACAGATGCTGATTATGCAGGATCAATTTCAGATAGGAGGTCAATTTCGGGTTATTGTGCCACTATTGGTGGTAACTTGGTTACTTGGCACTGTAAAAAGCAAGATGTTGTCTCTCGATCTAGTGCGGAGGCAGAGTATAGGGCTATGGCTCTTGGGTAGGTGAGTTGCTATGGCTGAAAACCTTGATGACAAACTTGTGCCTTCCAGTGTCGCTTCCATTCTCACTTTACTGCGACAACAAGTCTGCCATTAACATAGCAGCAAATCCCGTTCAACGTGACAGGACTAAGCATATAGAGGTGGACCGTCACTTCATTTGAGAGAAGATCATCTCTAGTCAAATTTGCACTCCATTTGTCACAAGCTCTCAGCAGCTTGCAGACATTCTTACAAAAGGCGTCAATAAGATTGTGTTTGAGAATGCATTGTTCAAGTTGGGCGTTTCAAATATCCACGCACCAACTTGAGGGGGAGTGTTAGCATATATGACACTATGATTTATAGTATGACTTACCATAATAGCAGAGATTTGACTATGCATATGCTAGCATACTATTTATGGAATGACTTACCATAATAGTAGAGATTTGACTATACTATAGAATATGCAATAGAATATGCTTTAGAATAAGTTGTGATTTGATTTTGATTTGATTTAGTTTTCTTTCTTGTAATATGAGCATGTGCTCATTCTATCTATAAATACTAGAGCTGTGAATGAGTAATTTATATCATTCAAACCCTTACGCAATTCTCTCATTTCTCTTCTATTTATATTTCTATTGATACCATGTGGAGAAATGAATTCAATTATATTGAATCTATATATATTTACAAAAGTCTCTGTTGGGCTATATATAAGAAATTACAGAGAGAAAAATCAGCAACTAACTAAATTTGGAAACCCTATAATCGGGAATCCCTAATTCTCTATCAATCAAATCCCTAAACTCTAGGAAACAAATATTTACACGATTCTAGTGCTAACCAACCACTAATCAAGGAGACTAACTCGTATTTTTCCACATTAGCCATTCCTATTATGCCCTTCATGATGATTCCGACACTGTTACAGAATGACTGTGACCGTAGCTTTACCCGATACTGCAATCTAACCATAGAAGTGCCACACTTGAAAATAGTTCCATGAAGCAATTGGTCTTATTTTTACACACAAGCAGTAGAAAAATTCCCTAATTTAAAGACAACCAATCACAGGGCAATCACTCTGTTGTATCCATGGAAGGAGGAGAGAAAAAATTTACTAGTATTACTTACCAATATGAATACCATCGTAGAAATTTTGAGGGGCACTTGTTGCTCCACAATCTCCAATATGATGATTCATTTTAGAATTCGAACCATGAGCAGAATAAGGTGTGCCTGATTCTTGTGATACCTCAGCAGGTTCAGCAACATACCAATCCTTAGCCAACTCTGTTTCACCAATATGTCGGCTTGCAAAGGCAGAAGTTTCACGGGAAACATTTGGCGCAACATTTCTTTCTTCATGCACAGCACTTAACAAACTCCCGGTTGAAGTATGTCTTGTACTGTTTGCTTCACCAGTGCTTACTTCCATCACTAATGAAGCATTACTGATATCAAAAAATGCTGTAAGCAAACCATTAGAGTACAGAAAAGTTTCAGTTCAAAAAGTCATTACCTCCTTGACCAATGTAGCTGACCCTCTTTCTCCTCCAACAAAGCCTGAAGTTGTGCCAATTTAAGATTAAGTTGTTTAATGTCTCTTTTAAGACGGTTTACGGTATTTCTCTCTGAACTAATCTTCAACAGGGCAGGGATGCGTTAGTTAGCTAAGGAAAAGCTCCATGGAATTCAAAAGTTCCTTTTTTTTTTCATTTTTCTGTTAGTGAAGTTCAAACACAGTGATGTAATATTATTGCATATACAAAACATATATATAACATCCATCAATATGATGTCATGCAGTTAAAAGGTGGAGATGAACTTCGAAGACGGAAAGAGCCAGGTTAGGAATACCAGTACCACTTATATCAACCTGAAATCAAGTTCTTTATCTTAACTGCTCACACATCACGTATGTTAGCATATAACATAGTGCACACCTTTTATAAATGTGAAAGCCAGTTGATAATCACAACCAACTCAATTAATTTCACTCGACAAAACCTTATCCCAAGCATTTAGAGTCAGACATATAATAAATCCAGTTTTGCCATTATTCTCTAATTAAGACCATAACTTCAGATAAACCACGTGCAGGCATCTATCTCATTAATATCTCACCCCTATTTAATTTTGGTCATCCCCTACCCCTGTCACTTATGAATAACATTGTACTTCATTCCCTAGTCACCTTTTTTATAGGAAATTTTCTCTTCATCAGTCCAGCAGCTTCCATTTCTAATTTATTCTTTGTTATCTTACCACACACTTACCTCAACATTTGTGTTCCAATCACGCGCAATATATGAACATGTTTTTTCTTGGCCATCCAATATTTTATCCAATGAAGTGTGATTAACTTACTTGTTTCATAAAAAAATTGTTTCAGATTTAGACGTATATCATACAACATGCAAATATATTCGGCTTTAAGTCCATAAGCAAAAAAAAAAAAAAAATCATCTTCAAACACACCATCCCTTTAAAAATTATTGGGCCCAGTAACGAAATTGTTCCTTCTTTTTTTTTTTTTTTGGTTTTGGTATCTCTTGATCCCTCAATCTTCACTAGATGCATACCTATATTCTTAGTTTTGCTAATACATACTCCATATATTTAATTGACCACTGCTAGTTTAAACCCTCTTGACTCTAGAACCTCTCCAAAGCTTTAATTTAGCCTACATCCCTGCTTAATTTTCACTTGTAAAAATTAACATGTGCCATAACCTAATCCCAAATTTATCTTATCAAGGCAAAAAGACAGGGATCTAATGTTGATCCCTGTTATAAGCATACAACAATTGATAATTTACTTATTTCTCCCATAATTTACTTAAAATAATCACATCTCAGCATGTCCTTTATCACGACAAAAATATATTTGTGACTTCTTTCACTAATAAGCTCATCATATTATATTCCTAAGAACTCCATCTGAAGAATTTTCAAAGTCTATAGAGCCATATTTAAAATATTTCTTCCTGCCTTTACATCTCTATGGGAGTCTTCTAAATAAGTAAATCATTTTGACCTCGTCATCAAAAATAATAAATAAATAAATCAATCAATCAATACTACTGTTTTAAGTTTTAGCCATTGCTCCATCACACTCTGCAATTTTTGTTTGTATGCTTCATTAATTGAATATCAAGGTAATTCACCTTTTTTATAGGAAATAAAAAAGGTGAATTACATTGTACTTCATTCCCTAGTCACCTTTTTTATAGGAAATTTTCTCTTCATCAGTCCAGCAGCTTCCATTTCTAATTTATTCTTTGTTATCTTACCACACACTTACCTCAACATTCGTGTTCCAATCACGCGCAATTTATGAACATGTTTTTTCTTGGCCATCCAATATTTTATCCAATGAAGTGTGATTAACTTACTTGTTTCATAAAAAAATTGTTTCAGATTTAGACGTATATCATACAACATGCAAATATATTCGACTTTAAGTCCATAAGCAAAAAAAAAAAAAATCATCTTCAAACACACCATCCCTTTAAAAATTATTGGGCCCAGTAACGAAATTGTTCCTTCTTTTTTTTTTTTTTTTTGGTTTTGGTATCTCTTGATCCCTCAATCTTCACTAGATGCATAACTATATTCTTAGTTTTGCTAATATATACTCCATATATTTAATTGACCACTGCTAGTTTAAACCCTCTTGACTCTAGAACTACATCCCTGCTTAATTTTCACTTGTAAAAATTAACATGCGCCATAACCTAATCCCGAATTTATCTTATCAAGGCAAAAAGACAGGGATCTACTGTTGATCCCTGTTATAAGCATACAAAAATTGATAATTTACTTATTTCTCCCATAATTTACTTAAAATGATCACATCTCAGCATGTCCTTTATCACGACAAAAATATATTTGTGACTTCTTTCACTAATAAGCTCATCATATTATATTCCTAAGAACTCCATCTGAAGAATTTTCAAAGTCTATAGAGCCATATTTAAAATATTTCTTCCTGCCTTTACATCTTTATAGGAGTCTTCTAAATAAGTAAATCATTTTGACCTCCTCATCAAAAATAATAAATAAATAAATCAATCAATCAATACTACTGTTTTAAGTTTTAGCCATTGCTCCATCACACTCTGCAATTTTTGTTTGTATGCTTCATTAATTGAATATCAAGGTAATTTATAAAACTTACCATCCCCTTATCTATATATATGCAGTAAAACACTATCTCGCCACACATCGAAAAATTACTTAATTGTTAAGTTTCAATTAAATAGATTTGTTACCTAAGATAAACCATTCTCCAAATAAAAGTTTCTTAGGCAAGACACGTCATCTCCAAAGCACTTTCAAGCCTTAATAGGAATGTCATTAGACCCTAACGCCTTCTTGTTTTCATCTTCCTTTATACATTTTTACATTGCACATTCTTATTCTACACACACACACACATATATATATATATAATTGTTTTCTCTTAACCTTCCTAAAGTTACCATATTTTTCTAAATCTAAAGATTCCAATATGACTTTCATTCAATAAATTTCCAAAGTTAAGGAGCCAATTCACCTTTTTCTAATGTTATCATCTTTCACTGAGCACTCAAATCCTCTCTCTCTCATACTTAAAATGATTAAATCTCTAAATTCATTAACGTAGCAAAGTTGTATCTATTCTTTTCCCTGTCCTTTGTACCTTACTTCGAATAAAAATCGTCATTGCTTGATACTACCTAACTTCGAATAAAAATCGCCATTGCTCCATACTAAGGGTGCCAATAATTGACACGATACGCTAACACGACTTGAACACGACGCAAGAAAAGTGGGTTTGGGTTTGACTTAATCGTGTTCGGGTCGTTATCGTGTCAACCAAATTAGGCCCATTTAACTAAGTGTGTCAAGTAAAGATGTTGCATTCGTGTTTAAAATGGCCCTAATAGTATGGAATTTTAATTAAACGTGTCTTACCGTGTTGTGTCAGGTCTTGACCCATTTATGAAACAGTTTACGGGGGTTGTGTCGTGTTCCTATTGTGCTCGTATCACGGTTCCTTGATACGAATTATAATCACCCATATAGTAGGATACCCCTGTCATAACATGACACAAATACAACACAAAAATACAAATTGCCACCCCTACTCTATTTCTCAATAATTTGCATATTTAACCTTCCAAAACTTTCTCTATTTCAAGCCATTGTCAGCTTTTATAACACTTCCTTCTCGTTGTAATAATGGTTTGGACATCCTCATGCCACCACTAAATTTCATTCAATACTCACCAATTTCCTTTTGATTCTCCAATACCACAATTGAGGTTCTTTTTAAATATTTGTCATCCTATCCACATTATATCAATTTTATCTTTGAAAGTTCATATTACAGTTAGTTATGGTGTGGGGGGGGAGGAGGGGGACTCATTAGTACAGTTTTAATATATAGAATTGCTTACATCATGGTTGATGCCATCAAATGAATATGAGATTACTTCTCCACCCTTGTAACCCTGAAGAGCCTAATAACTCTTTTTCCACCCAAGATCAGTTTTCTCTCTCACTTGGAGATCTATCAAGCTGGCCTGTCTGACAGGCTCCTCGTCTACACCTCTGGCAGCAGCGTCATCGCCCTCAACTCTCGCTTCGTGCAACTCGTCTCCGTTCTCCTCTTCCAACTCCTTCCCCTTTCGCCACATGCGTCTAATGGTCCCCCCAATCCCTCCGAAACGATCCTCCCACAACCCCTCCAAACAACCATCATTGTGAATTCAACAATTCCAAGAAATCCAAAAGGATTAAATTAGACTTGAAAACCCAACTCAATAAAGCAGATATCATGATTTCATTGGGAGAAAACTGGAAATTACAATTTTCTTGCTCCAACCCCAAGCAAATCCCATGATTAAACTGTCTTGTTTCTTTGAGATTATGGACCATTTCTTCCCTTCAACTTAAACCAACATATTACATCCAAAACCATTAGCAAATGTGTTCATTCTATAGATTTGAATCAATCTTTGACCATTACTATCCCCAATCCATATCCAGCCATCCTCGATGTGTCCATTGATGGCTCTTGAACTCCAAAGACAATAATCCTCCTTGTGCAGTGGCCTGATGAGCCACGTGAGGTCAAATGTTGAAGATTTTGATGTAAATGTGGAGATGATGAGGTGGAAGAGGAATGCACTAACAATGGAGATTCAGAGAGTGGATTAGAATTGATTGGAGGCTAAAGCCTTTGGCTTCAGATATATTAATTATATTAAATATTATTTATTTAGATTAAAGAAATTTTATTAATTTTATTTTATATATGCACTTAATGGTCATTTGGTACAGTTGATAAGGACATTTAAGTCATTTTGTTTCATGTAAGGGAATTTTCGGTATTTAGAAATTATTCCTCTGACAGACTTAATCCCTAATTGATGTCAGGTGACTAAGAAAAACTTCAAGGAAGGTTGACCATACTTTTTCAATTAGTTTCACCCATAGGTTATTTAACCAAACCTCAAGGAAGGTCAGGGTAATTTAGCCTTATTCCTACTTGGGCAATTTTTTTTTTTTTTTTTTTTTTTTTGACAACTACCACAATAAAGTTGATATCATGTGTTTCAATTACCTCTTACCTCTTAGGCACTTGTAGGCAAGATTTCCTAATCTTCCTTCTAATCATATTTTCCACCAACTCCATCCCTTAATCTATCAATTTTCTTATATTCCAATTTTCTAATGTACACCCACTACCTTAGACTAGTCTATAAACCTGCTTGTTGACTTACAACATCAACTATTCTATTCTCATCAATAATAAAGAAAATCAACAGATCATAAGAGAAAAGGGAAATAACTCTATCAATTAAAGAAATAGATGACACAAAATTTACCACCATCCAGAAAAACTGCGATCAAGGATATTTTGGAGGTTACTTGCAAATTCGAAAATCTGGTTCCACTAAATTCGAACCCACTAAGAGTCGGTCAGTATAGAAACAAACTCAATTTTACATCTACAAGGGTCTTCTTTCTTTTTGACTTTTTGCATAAGACATCTATATGGGTCTTTCTTAGCGCAGAACTGAACCACTATACAGATCTCAGAGCCCCTCAAATAAGTGTTGGCTTTGTTGTAATCAAACTCATCCAGCTAACTGCAGATTTGGTGTCCCAAGACTCCCAGCTCCCCAAAGCCTCTCGACAACAAAATTTACCAGGATATATTTGAACTTAGAGTGCAAAACACATATATTTCTCACATAAAAATGGAAATTTAAGGAAACCCTAATTGAGTAAACAGAACAACATAATAAAAAGGAATAATATCAAATTCAACTGGTCATCAAGGAAAGTATGTATACTCACAGAAATGAACATAGTGAAAATTAAGGAGAAAAAAGAGCAGATAAAAGTTTGTTCTTAAGGATATGGGTACCATTAAACATCTGGCTCAAAAAATTCCTAACCGAAAGACGCAAGGCATCAAACCACTCCTGTGAAAAGTATACACGAAACTGCGGATCCAAGCTTGGGTTTTTCAGATACGGGACAGCTGCAGAGAAAATTTCAAGGTTCAGTTAGAGAGAAAATAAGTTCAAGAGAAAAAAGAAGCAGATGGAAGATATATATATATATATATAACCCACCAAACCACAAATTCCATTCCTGGTCTCTTTGCAGCAAGTCACCACCACTTATTCCAAAAAACTCGATAACTTTGTCTTTCCTTCCTAATCGTATGGCATGGACAATATAGTAGCGAATAATAGAAACCTCCAATTTTGATAATGTATCAAAAAATATTGTCTCGGAGGATGAAGAAAAGCACTGCTTGAAAAATCCCAGCAAGCCAATTAATTTTTCTGCCTGAAATTTGGGAACATATACTGAAAATATTAAGTCTAATATCTTATCCACTTGAAATCCTTTGCCAATATCACTGCCTAGCTCTGTCTCAAACGCTTGCAAAGTGTTTGTAAACCCTCTGAAGACAAGAAACTCCCTGATAAGCTCCTCAGCATAATTCATGTTCTCCATCTTGTTCCAATACCCTTAAAAAAGGTATACCTTCAGGCCTTAAAAAAGTTTAGTATCCCCATGCTCAAGCTATAACTTATGTGTTGTGCACACAACTCGACCATCAAATATCCGCAAAGATCACATTCACAAATCCGTAACTATAATATACTACCATTTAGTATGGAACTACTAAGACAATCTAATTATACAGGGAAATGATACACCAGATATCTTTCTGTCGCTACGAAATAAATTTTGGTGACAATGACTGCTCCTGTAGCAACAAAATGAACTCCGGTGAGTATGCTGCCCATTACAACACCATTGAGTGCCAAAAATTATGGAAAATTTTCAACAACTGAAAAACCCCAAAATAAGTTTTTGGAAAAATAATTGATAAAATAATGAATCATTTATTGCTCAAAATTCTTGCATCTAAATAGTTCACGTAATGGGATCCCGGCCACAAGTTCTAGATGGTTAAAGAAAATGACAAAACAAAACCAGAAAAAACACAAATTAATTTTTTGAAAAATCGGACATACCAAGTAGTTCACGTATGAGATATAACATCTGAATGACTATATTACTATTTGTAAGCATACACCAATTGATACATGAATCATTAGGGTTAGTAACCCATAATCTATTTACAAGTGCACATGTAGTTGTAGGTTAAAAGTGAAGTAGAGAACCATCATCGCAAAGTGACTACCCCTTTCTGAGGGGAGAAAGCTGAACCTTTTCCCTCCAGAAGTCTGTTATTTTGGATTATAAGTAAAAAAATTCTACAAAACATGCAAACAAGAATGCAAATCATTATCAGTTGCACCCAATTGTATGCAAAGTAAGGCAGAGATCTAGCGATTTTAGAATCGAATACTGTGTTCGGCTCATTGTCATCTCCACTAAATTTTCCATTCTTTGGCCAATTTAGTAAGAACATTACTTTTTTGTTTTCTTTTTTCTGGACAAGTTTAATATGACTTAAAAGTTTGACACTTCCGAAAAAAATAACTTCTCCAGAGGACATCCACACCTGCCTTGTCAACAGTAAATTTAACCCAACAACAATATTTCAGTCTATCAAACAAAAATATCACACCGCATACAGGATTCACAGTTCTTTGAATCATTCACTACATTTTCATCATGAAATTTCACTCCAAAATGAAAACATTCACTTGACACCAAATCCACAATTTAGCTTTTTTCTGATTCAGTGCATATTAAACCTACAATTTAGCTTTTGGGTTTTCTGATTCAGTGAATATAATACATTTACATGCCCTAGCACACTGTTAAATTGAACCGACCAGTCCCAACAAAAGTAACAGTACAAGAAACAAATCAGAATTCAGGCTCTCCTACTAAAAATCGAAAATGTAGGCAACCAAACATGAAAGTTCAACAATCCTAAAACCAAAATTCTTCGATTGTACACAACAACAAATAATACACCAATAATTTAATATACAAGCACGTATATACAAAATCAATAAATAAGAATAGTAAAAACAGAATTGAAACGAAAAATGAGTGCAATGAAACAACCTCATTCAAATGATTTGAGTTGTCTTTCGGTTCTCTCTCCGGATCTTGGTTTTTACTTCGCCCCGACGTTCACCTCTCTCTCTCTCTCACTCTCCCCCTCTCCCTCTCTCATACTATCTTTATTTTAGTAGTTCCAACCCGTGTTGGCGAAATTATTTTGGTACCCATGATTTGGCAACATTTGTTTGCTTTATTTTGTACTAGTCTGTGCGAAAATCCTTTCAAAAGAGATTAAGGCAAATATCGATTTTTACTTGAATATCTTAGGCTCGTTGGAAATAGTAAAAGGAGAAATAAAAAATGAAAAGAGATGAAAAATTAATGAAAAGAAAATTAATTTTTTTATATGTATTTGGTTAGGAAGAAAATTTATTCAAGAAAATTATAGAATAATATCATATTATAAAATAAATACTTAAAATGTCCTTATTTTATAAAAATAATAAAATAATAAAGAATTAATTAATAGTAATGTATAGAAGAATAATATCATATTATAATTTAGATACTTAAAATGACCTTATTTTATAAAAATAATAAAATAATAAAGAATTAATTAATAATAATGTATAGAAAAAAATTATGGAGTTTTCAATTAATGCAAACTACTATTTATTTAATTTGATGAAAAATAATTAAAAATGGAAGTTAAGTTAATTAACACCCTATCAATGATAAATTTGTTGTTGGACTGCAATTATTCCAATGTTGTTGGGCTTCAAATATCGATAAAGTTATTGGGTGATAAAAATAATATCTATGAAGTTGTTGGATAAAATTGAAACACAAAATAAAAATACGTTTCTTCTTTCACGTGAAAATAAATTTTCCCCGTATTTTGTGCAGGAAACGTTTTGGGGAAAACATAGGGTTATGAGAATCTTAATTTTCCAAAACTTTTCTTTTTCTATCTAACCAAAGTGCAGAAAAATTCTAAAATTTTCTATTTCCTTTATTTTCTCATTGATTCTATCTAACCAAACGAAGCCTTAAGAACCTTTTTTGTTCTTTTCTTTTCTTTTTTGGGTTAATTTTACTTATATCCCCTCAGGTTTTGTTAAATATCACCCTCAAATATCTTTCGAAAATAACTATCATTTAAGTCAATTTCTAACTTTCCGTACTGTTAAATGCATGGAAAAAGACAACTTTACCTTTAATTTTTTAATCTCTTTTATTCCAAAATATCATATTACCTAAATGACTATTATACCCTACACCCACCTACCAACCCAGACATTGCAATGGAGATGAGCAATTGAAGATGTGTGTTTTTGTCGTATCAAAGATGAGCAATTGAAGATGTAAGATGTTGGTGGCCTCCATTCATCCTCACATTTCGATCAGACCTGAGCTCGTGCTTATCGCCAGTGACAGAGCTTACTGTTGGTTTGACGATGAAGCAAGAACTGGGTTACTACACCTTTGCAACTTCTGACGAACAAAACAAATGGCTTTGGCGGTGGAGAGTTTCAGTTTCCGGTGACAAGTTGAGGAACCAATCCTCTGGTGGGTGTTGGGTTGGGACTGTGTGGGCGGTGGCGGCAACGGCGATGGCGGACGTCTTTATGGGTGGCCGCAGCGGATTAGTTCTTTACCCCTTAATTGGCAAGGTAGTCTGTATTTCTATAAATAATGAAAAATGATAGTACTTTACCTTTTATTGACGTGGGTGAAGTGCTCGCCAAAGTTGAATCTATGGTCTTCGGGATGGCTGCAATTGCTGGCGGAGAAGTGGTTGGTGTAGAGACATTGGGCAGAGAAGAAGTGGTGGAAGGAATTGGGCATAATTTCCTGAGTGGTCTACCGCACAATTCCGGATTTCCAGAAAATGATTTCGTTTCCTGGTTGAAAAAAACAGGTGATTCCGGAATCTCTCCGGTGAAATTGTTGAATGACAAATCAAGAGTGGCGTTCACCGAAATTTTGTTTGCGAATTCCGGTGGAATTTCGCCGAAGATCCTGTTGTAGGAGACGTTGAAGTAGTAAAGATTGTTGCCTCCGGTAAAATTTGGAGGCAATGACCCATTGATCAGATTCAAAGACAGATCTACTACTTCAACTGAATCAAACCCACTTGGAAGACTACCAAAAAAGTAATTACTTTTCAAGGATTAGAAGTAATTGCTTTTAGAGCCTATCAATGATTAGAAGCGATGGAATACAAGTTGATGGCGTGTGGGATGTATCAATCGCATGTGAAGGAGTGGATTTGCTAAGAAGTTCTGAATTGGGTGAAGTGAGGTGAACTGAACCCTTTTCTTTTCATATGTATAATTGTTGAATTCTTTTAATTAAGAATTGTGCTTGGTGGTATGTACTAGTTTCATCCTCTTTGCAATTCTTATGAGTATATATGCATTTTGGAAGCACTTTCCCTCATTTCCATGTGATTATTATCTTTGATGTCTCCGGTTGTTGGAAGTAAATGATCCTCTATTTTTTTATTTCTGTGTGTGTAATGTGTGTGTATATATATATATGTCTATATATATATATATATATATATAATTTGAAAATTTACAACTTTCTAAGGGTATTTTAGTCTTTTAATCTAATTCTTTAAGCTAATGGGTTGGTTTGACAAATTCAAAGGGTGATTAAGTCATTTTACATCGTGCCAAAACTTTTCAACTAAAGGTTCGGGTGTTAGTGAAAAATGGAGCAAAAGTTTATAATATGAGGGATAGTTATTTTCGAAAGATGTTTGAGAGTGATATTTGGCTAAACCTGAGGGGGTGTCAGTGAAATTAACCCCTTTTTTTTTTTATTTCTTTCTTTCTTTTTGGGTAAGTAATTGTAGTATTATTAGTTTTTTTTATTAATTTTCAGAAAACATAATTTAAAAAATTAAAAAAAGAACACTTGTTTTCTCTCCATTTAAAAAGTTTTTTATAATTGCTTTTTGAAATGAATCAAATAATGCTTAATTCTCACATGTAAAACAAAATCTTGTACGAGACTTTTCGCGAGATTGTTCAATCACCCAACAATTCCCCTTGAACGAGATTTTTCACGAGATTGAACGTCATCGGCTTTCTAAGCTTCCCGCTATTAGATCTTGAATTCACACCGGGCCGGCCCTGGGCATGGAGAAATTATTGGCAACAACGGTGGTTCCACATCACTTTGCTGACATGGCATCACAAGCCAAGAGATTTGAGTTTTTTTGCATACCTATCTTAGGATCACCATGTTAGATTCCTCGTAAACCCAAACAAAAATGGCATCTCTTTTATAGCCGAAAATTTCATCTTTCCGCCTAAATCTAGTACTTCTCTTTCTTTAAATTTGAGTCCCTAATTTTATATCTTGTTTTTTCTCGTTAAGCTAACATTCTCGTGGTTTCTAAACTTTGCCTCTAATACTTGTCTTTCTTCAAATTAATTTGATTTCCTAATTTCAGATCTCTTTTTTTTCTCTCAAAGCCGTCATTCTCGTTGAAGAAATCCTTACCCCCAGTTTTTGAACTTCGCCGGTGACATTTCCATCATCTTTCGTACACAGTCATTTTTCCTTGCCGAGCAGACAGTCCCGTGCTCTAGCCGATAAGAATAGGACAACAGTTTAGATCCGCTATCGTTCAATCGTCCTTGCCTGCAATTTTTGAACTTCACCGTCAACCTGTTCGCCATTTGTGGCACCTCTCATGCTGCTTCTCCACCTACTCCATTCCATATTGCCCCCATTGCCATATTGTATATATATTTTTTTTTTTGGAAAATTAAAAAAGAACTGGTTTTGTATATTGATGAAGCGTTTAATGGTTTTTTTTTTTTTTTTTAAGAATTAAGAAAATCAACTAAAATAGTTATTATTTTTTTGAATATGAATGTGTGTGTTTTATTTTTCTCTCTTTTAAAGGTGGTTTGTGATGATTTTTAAATCTTTTCTACATAGTTTGGTATCCTTCTCCATTGAACGGAGAAGTTTGGACCTTTATTGGCTCGATGCAAGCTTTTTAAACTCCTTTCTCATCTTACTTGGTAGAGAGAAACAGTTCCTCAGATGCATATTCTCTGTAATTCAAGTACTAATGCATATGGACATATATATGTTAATAATTTGACCTTTACTTGATTAAATAAGTAAAATATTTAATGTTTTTCATATTTTCTCCTTCTATTTGATTATTGTTTTCTTTCTTTCTTTCTTTCTTCCACGATCTTTGAGAAGGAAGTAGCAAAGTTTTCTGTAATGTTTAGATCAATGATACAAAGGTCACTCACCAGGTATGATAAAATGATTATTTATAAAATTCTATAATCTTTTGTCATATGAATTCTGGACAAGCATATCAACATATTGGTGGAGATTGTAAATATTGTGTTGTTGAAACTACTCTGATAGAAAGATTTTGAATAATTCTTAACGGTATCAGTCAGAGGCAATGTGGTTTAATTTTGGATTGAACTTTTTTCTTCAAATTATAACACACTGGTGGGATAAGTTTAAAGAACCGCTTAGCATAACAATGGAAAGAAATACATTTTGGTCGAATTATTTCAAATCTAATAACGACACTAGAACGAAGTTATAAAATTGCAACTGTAGCAAACAAATAAAGATTCCAGAGATAACAATAGAATTTTCCATCCTATGTAAAATTGTAAGTGCAACAAACAAATAAGAATTTAACTAAAATTACAAGTATAGCAACCTGCTTTTAGAATTTCAATCATTCAACCAAAAAATAAGGGTTTGAAGCACCCTCATATAATTAATTTCAACAAAGATCATATCCTAATACATTAACATCACTATAACACCAATTTGTTTCGTCGTTCTTCAATTGGCAGCATCATTGTTCATTGTCCAGCACCAAAATCCTCTTGACTATTTGTAAACGACTCCTAGAAACATATTAAAAAATATATGGTTAATCACCTAAGAACAAATTAATACCATATTACCTAAATAAAATTCATAAGCTATAAAACACATTACCTGAGTAGCATGTGGTATGAAACTATATCCAGGTTGGCTTAAACTCCAATTTGAACTTAAATCCTATGAAACATAAAAAAATTAAAACAATCATAAAATTAAAGTATTGCATTATGAATCAATGGAGCAAAAATAAAATTACCTCGTGATGAACACTCTCGCCGTAATGATTTACACTCACTGGAGGTTGAAAGTGAACCAGTGGAGCATTTGACATA